TGCACCCGCGTGGGAGACCCGGAAGAGGCTCCTGGCTTCGGCTGTTGCGCTCACTTGGGGAGTGAATCATCGGATGGAAGATCTTCCTCTCTGTCTCTCCTCTCTGTATATCCGCCTTTCCAATAAAAAAAATAATAATAAAAAAATAAATCTTTAAAAAAAAAAGTGAGAGAGCAGTGTAGCTAACCAGTCAGCCAGATAGAGGCAGTTCCATAGTGTCACTGAGCCTCAGTGTTGGGAAAATCCTGAGGATTTCAAACATCAGGATAACTTGGAGGCTCTGCCTTAGGGAGCACTCCCGATTCATTGCACCCAGTCACGGCCGTGGGGGAATGGAGGTCTCAAGTTGTCTGGTCATCTAATTTTCCACGAGAAATCAGGAATTAAAATTTTGTGTGTGTGATCTATCTTTTGAATGTCACCATAAATGGTCCAAGCAAGGCATGTCAACAAGCTTATTTGATCTGAACACTTTGCTAGGTTTGACCTGAGCGCCTCCTGTTTATTATGATTCTGAATTCTTAATTTCTGGTTTGAAATCATGGTCATCAGATGAGATCAAGGTCACAGCCACCACAAGAATGTCACAAGCAGGCTTTCAGTCTCAAGTTTTTGGAATGTAAATTGCCCCAGGGCCAGAGCTGCTTTTTGTGGGTCAGTTTTGATGGTGGTACCTGGGGCAGAGTTGGAGCTTAATAAATGCAAGCTGAATGAATGCATGGGCTCTTGCAGAATGAATCCGAGCAGGCTACAAGTCAGCAGAGGGATGGCCTTTACTGAGCATCAAGCAAGGACACTCAGGGACTGCTTGGCCAAAGAGTCAGCAGCTCCCATAAGCAGGTTCTGCAAGCCAGAGAGGCCTTTCCTCGGGGTCTGCAGACAGAGGGCAGTCTGACCAGTTTCCAGGGTTCTCCCTTAGGGTTCTATTTTGGGGTTGAGAGAATTCCCCTTGGCTCCCCTGCTCTCCCATCTTTCCTGTTTCCATGGGGATTACGGCACATCCATCCTTGAGTTGGGCAGCCTGTGGGGCCATGCATAGAGTTGCTGCCTGCTCAGAACAAAACCGCCCACATCACTGACAAGTTGAAAAACTTTCTTTTTTTAGCTGGCAGCACAGTTAGAAAGATGAAGGAAAAATGTAAGTGGTGTGGTGTGTGTGTGTGTGTGTGTGTGTGCGCGTGTGCATGGTGGGGGGAGTAGCAAGGGAGGGGAAGAATGCTCTGTTGTGAAGTTTTTAAAATAGTATTCCCTAAAGCATGGTAGAACCTTTGTTTTATATTTTTCTGTGGGTCTGATAAGCTTTGCACTGAGTCAAGGATAGTTTTCTTTTAAAAACGTTCATTTATTTATTTTCATTTTATTGGAAAGGGAGGAAGAGAATCATTTTCCATCCACTGCTTTATCCTACAAATGCATACACCAGCCAGAGCTGGGTCAGGCTGAAACCAGGAGCCAGCAGCTCAATTTTGGTCTCCCTTTTGGTGACAGGGACCCAAATACTTGAGTTATTGTCTGCTGCCACCAAAAGCATGCATTAGCAGGGAGCTGGTTTGGAAGCAGAGGAGCCAGGATTCGAACGAAGCGTTCCAATGTGGCATCTGGGCATCCCAAGTGGCATTCTGGTCACTGAGCCAAATGGCAGTCCCTGGTTTAACTTGAATAGGCAATAAACAGTTAAACAAGTGTTCTTCCTAGAGGACTTTTCAGTGTCTTCAGTTTTTGTTTGTTTGTTGTTTCAAGATTTATTTTATTTGAAAGGCAGAGTGATATATAGAGAGGGGTTTTCTATCTGCTGGTTCACTTTTCCAAATGGTCACAATGGCCGGAGCTGGGCTAGACTGAAGCCAGGAGCCTGGAGCTCCATCTGGGTCTCCCACGTGGACGGCAGGGACACGAGTATCTGTACCCTTGTAGGCTTTCCTGGCTGTTTTTAAGCAGGAATCTGGATCAAAAGTGGAGGTGGGAATTGAACCATGATATCCCAGGGGTGACCTAAATGGGAACCAGGCATCCCAGGTGGTGATTTAACTTGCTGTGCCACAATGCCTGCCCCTGAATTTTCAAGTTTTGCCAGCATATCTGAAGAAGGTGCTCCTTGCAAACCCCTGTTTTAGAAATACTCGGGCCTTCCTGATTCCAGGTGGTGAGGCTGTAATATACCACCTTGCCCATCCACGACACTATCTTGTCCATCCATGACATTCTTCATGAGCCTGGGGAGGTCTCTGCTGTTGGTGGCACTCTCCAGCCGTGACGCCGGGGCTGCGCTCCATGAGTACACTCACCCCAGGAGTCTCAGAATTGCTTGGGACCCTTTGCCTGACAATCTGCCCCTTTCCACGTCTCCTGCCTGCCCACGGGGGATTCCTGAATAAGTGCAGGGTCTGCAGCCTTTGTGAATGTGAGTGGGCAGCTTCCGTCCTACTTCCACACATCTCAGCCAGGCTGCTCAGCTAAGGAAACCCATAGCCCGGGAGTGAGAAGAAAATCCGCCTCATTTCCTCTGCATTTTTTTTCTTGCCCCAGGGATACACCGTGCTGACTCCTGGGACTCAAGGAGTTCCCAACATGCAATTCTAGGGTTCAAAGCAGCAACCAAGAAAGATCGCCTCCCCTTCTGTATTCCTGCGATCTTTCACCTGTGTAATAGGAAAGATGCGGACACATGTAGGATGTTGTGGAAGCCAGCCATGTGGGACCAGCTTCAGCGATGACAGTTTCCACTGTCAGTGGTACAGATGACAGGGTCAGGCATTGGCAATGCTTGGGTGCCAGACTCCCGTACAGAAACATCTGGGATTTAGACCTGGATCTGCGCTTAATTCCAGCATTCCTGCTAATGTGTATCCTGGTAGGCAACAGGCGATGGCTTAAGTACTTGGCCACCTATGTGGGAATCCCAGACTTAGCCTAGTTCTGGCTTCCTAGCTATGGCCTGCCCTGTTCCCAGCTGTCGTGGGCACTTGGGAAGTGAACCAGTGCAGGGTCATACCGCTGTCTCTATACCCTTCAAATAAATAAAATAAATAAATAATTAGGTTGGAGACGGGAAGAAAATGAGGTAGAGTATGGTAGAACTGGATTCAAATTCTCTGCTGTAGTGGAAAGAAACGGTCAGAAGAGGGCAGTAGGGAGCTACTTTCTTTCTGTTTACTCAGTCTTGGAGCAACACAGGCACAAGGTTAAGTGTGCCAAACTTTGCTATCTTCCTCCCCAGATAGGTCATTCAAGGTCACTTACAAAGCCTTCTGCCTTGTCCGCTTCTGTGGGGTGGTCAGTCCAACAGGCAGACCACGAGGCCTTCAGACTCTGCTGGTTCCAGGGTCGTCTCACTAAAGGAGGGGCCTCCATAGCAACCCCAGAAAATGAGAGAAGGGCATCCCCAACGGCGAACAAGATACTTGGAAAAATAGGAGGAGCGTATTGGTAAGTAATAAGATTTACTGAAAACTTCTCGGCCACATTCAGTACTGGTTGGTGGATACATCAGAAGGAGGTTGCATAACATTCGGCAGGTGGAAGGGACTGGGAAGAGGAGACGTGGGCACCTGTGGGCAGTGTGCCTGTGCCGGGTGGGACGCCTGGCAGCGTGCACGCGTGTGTGTGATGCATGTGTGTCTGTGTTTCAAGAAAAATGAGCCAAAGGAGGAAATGTGTTTCATCCCACTGCACATTGCAAAAGTCTCATGCCCAAAAAGCTAGACTTCCTTCTACTTATGGCATCAAAAGGGAGTAAAAAATGATCGAATCACCCAGATTATAAATAAGGTTATTTGTTTCTCAAAAATCCCTATTAAAACATTAAATATCAGCTCTTTTAGGGGAGAAATACATTCATTTCAGGGAGACCTCAGGAAAGCGGCCATCCTGCTCCTCCCCCACCAGCTGGAAGAGGGGAAACCCCAGAGGGCCCCAAGGGTCCCCCCCAGGGGAGCCAGGTGGCCGCTCACATCCGTCACTGGAGGACATGGCTAATGCACGATTTACAAATGAAGCTGTGCGCCCGTTAAATTAAATCCCGTGGAAAACACACGTGTGGTCAGTCTCATCATTCACAGCCACAGGGTGGGAGGAAACAGGAGGAGGGGATGCCAGTCACTGGGGTTGGGGGGCTGCAGGGCGCGTGTCAGAGCAGACTGTGGTGAGGGCCCTCCTCCCTGGGGCTCCAGTTCCCCCAGCGCTGTGTGGAGTGAGGCAGCAAGGCGGGCCGGAGTGGGCCCTTGGGTGCCATTCCTCTGCCTGGCCCTTCTTCCATGCTGGATCTGGGAGGAGAGCCACGTAGCACCTTCTCCACCCCCTGGCTCCTTATTGGTTGAGATGCTGATGCTTCTTTCCTTTTCTTCCGCCTTCTCTGAGGGACTGAACAAAGAAGGGAGGCGGGAGGTGACAGAGCTGCAGTCCAGCCCCGCCGAACCCCACCTTCTCACCAGGTCTGTGCGGGGGTGAAGAGTCTGGGGTCAGACACCGTCCGTCCTGATGTGCCAGGAGCTGCGTCCTGTGGCCTGCCAGGGATAGATGTGGTCCTGAGGTGGCTCCCAGCCTGTGTGCTGCCCGCTCCGTGATTCCCAGTGCCCACCTAGCCAGAGGCGCACCTCTTACCTCCCGCCATTTGAGCCCACCGGATTGCGAGTTGTTTCTAGGAAAGAGACAGAGAAGGGGGCTCTGTTGCCCCCTCCCCCTCACAAGTCCATGGTTGCTGTGCCCAGAGAGGGGGGCCGTGGAGGGACAGGTCAGAGGCTGGCTGTCTGACCCTCCCACGCCTCTGGCCCTGCCCTTGAGGGTCTGTGGAAGGCTGAGGAGGGAGCGCCAGTGTCTCCTTGTTCCTCCTGTCTGTCCCCTGGCGGGCTCACCCTGTGAGCAGCACTGACCCGCCTCACAGTGCAGGGCTCATGAACAGCTGCAGGCCTTCCGCGGGGCAGCCGGAAGGGGCCATCTGTCCCACTCCAAGAGTCCAGGTCTCAGGCCTATCCTTCCGTTCAGGCATGCCTTGGCAAGCGGGGCTCACTGAAGCTCAGGGGGTTGGGAAGGCGCAGGGGCCTCCTCTGCCTTTCTTCTAGCTGTGATGTGGGGAAGCCAAGGCCCAGCTCCCTCGGGGCCGCCTGACCACCCCGATGCCCCACCCAGGGCACTCCTGTCCTGTGCGGCTGTCAGTGCCATCTGGGCGGCCCGGCTACTCCAGGGAGTCACTGTGTCCCAAGCCCAGGTCGCTGACATTCGTTGTCTGCAGCTCGTCGGCCTCCTCCTCCAGCTCCTCTTCCTCCTCTTCCTCTTCCATTTCATCCTCATCTTCTTCTTCTGTCCCATCCAATGAGTCGTCGTGTGCAGCCATCATGGCCTGTTGCATGGCCATGGTGGCATTGTCCGAGGAGAGGGACTGCAGGTTGTCTAGGCTGATGGAACCTGCGAGAGACAGGGCAAGGATCAGGACTGTACAGATGCTGTCCTTAGGACTAGCGGATTGGGGTCAGACAGGCATGGATGGATGGATGATTCTGTGGGCTGCTGGGCCTCTGGCTTCCAAGGCTGCCTGGCCCAAACTGGTAGTCCCCTGGTACGATCCCTAACCCTAACACTGGTTCAAGTCCCTGCTACTCCACCGCTCCCTGACCCATCCCCAGAGATGACCTTGCCAGTTGCCATCACTGAGCAGTTTGTACTTAAGTTATGCTGTGTACTTTTGGACTTCCTGCTGATTCTTCATGTCAGGCAATCTTATCCCCATTCTGAAGGGGGGAAACTGAGTCTCGGTTCTACCAGGAGGTCATTCACTCAAGATGACAGTCAGGGATGACAAGATTTTCTCCAAGATTGCTCCTGTCCCCAAAATATTCATTTCTACTCTTCCGCCTAAGAGGACAGCCCATCACGGAGGAACCTCTACATGTCCCATTCACACCTGGAATGTGACACGTTTTCATACACGCATTCCTCCACCACACAGCCCACACAAAGCTACCCCACATGCCCGGCTCTGATGTGTCTGGCTGGCGGAAGGACTTACCATGTACCAGGTGATTGGCAGTTTAAAAAATATATGCAGGGCATGATGGAGAAGCAGGAAAACAAGGCTCCTCCTGGCATCTGTTGGCAAGTCAGCTGCCTGTCCTGGGAGCCACAGACGGCCTCGGTTCCCGGGAGCCACAGACAGCCTCGGTTCCCGGGAGCCACGCTGCCTACCCCGGGAGCCACAGTCAGCCTCGGTTCCCGGGAGCCGCAGACGGCCTTGGTTCCCGGGAGCCACAGACAGCCTCGGTTCCCGGGAGCCATAGACGGCCTCGGTTCCCAGGAGCCGTGCTGCCTGTCCCAGGAGCCACAGACGGCCTCGGTTCCCGGGAGCCACAGACAGCCTCGGTTCCCGGGAGCCACGCTGCTACCAACTGCTGCTGAGGAACTCTGGTGGGTGTGCAAGCGAGGAGGGGCTCTCTGAGCATCTCTTCCTCAGCTGACCACCAACTCCCACTCACCTTTGGGAGATCGTTTTCGGCTTGCTAAAGGGCAAACACCACCAGGCCTGTGTTTCAGGCTTTGGTGGGGTCAGAACAGTGACAGAGGCCTAGGTGAGTAAGATGGTGAGCTCTTGAATCTTCCACAACCAGCTCTGGGGGTTCCTCCCCATCCTCAGGGGGTTACACTCAGCCCCACACTTACCATCAGGGTTTGTGCCTGGGGTCCCACCCTGCTGCTGTAGCACCCCAGCAGCAATGGAGTTAGGCCAGAATCTTTGGGTGGGCCGGTGCTGGGATTTGATCTTCTTGGCTTTGGGGGCGGGGTCTGGGTTGCTGGCATCAAGCATGGGCTGCAGGATGCGCCTCCGGGCATTGATGAACCTGTGGGGGGTGGGGAGTTAGTGAGGGTAGAGACCTGATTAGTTTCCACGTAGGTGATCTTGCTGGGATGGACTCAGCTACCAGACCATGGAGAGAACAGAGAGGAGGTTTCTGGCTACTGGGGGGCTCAAGAAGTCCCCAGGCACTGGCTGAAGTGTCAGACATCCCCAAGCAAAGGGGACAGGCAGCCAGCAACAGGGAAGGGACAACAGAAATCCCTGGTGAGAATGGTGACTTTCTGTCCCTCCTGTTCCCACCTTTGCAAAATTTTAGTCTCAGTTTATAGCCAGGTGGGGTATACCAGATGACTGCTGGCAGTGCCCCTGCTCCACAGATGCAAGCATCCCAGTCTTTGCAGTGTGCCATGGAGGCCGGCTGCTCAGGTTTTCCTGGTTTTCTATTCAGCAGCACCTTCCAGGGATGTGCATGACATAATTTCCCAGCAGGGGGCGCTGAGACGCTGCAGATGAAGCTACAGGTGCCAGGGTTGAAGGCCCTTAGGGAAGCTGGCCTGAAGCTGAGCCGGTGCTGGCATTCTGGTATCACCCTGCATTCCTGCCAAACCTGGAGGCCCTGAGAGCCCGTGGGTGGGTGACACCGACTCACCAGTTATTCACTTGCAGAAGGGTGAGGTTCGTCTGAGCTGCAATCTGTCTTTTCTCATCTTCCGTGGGGTAGGGGTGCTGAAATGACAGGAAGGGCTAAGGAGCACTGGGTTTGTGGCAGTCATGTCCCTAGGGACCATGGCCTACGTCAGTGACAGTGGCCTGGGCCAGGCAGCCTGAGTGGCTAGTGAACCAAAATTGGGAACAGTGCTTCTCAAGCTGGCGGTATGACATAGCAAAGCCATTACTTCCTGATGCCAGTATCTGTATGGACACTGGTTCAAGTCCCTGCTACTCCACTTCGGATCCAGCTGCCTGCTAATGCACATGAGAAGGAAGTGGAGGATATTCCGCGTGTTTGAGCCCCTGCACCCATGTGGGAGATCTGGATGAAGCTCCAGGCTCCTGGCTTTTTTTTTTTTTTCCCCCACATTCCATTTGGAGAGTGAACCTGTGGATACAATATCTCTTTCTCTTCCCACCCTCCCACCCCCCGCCTGCCTGTTACTCTGGGTTTCAGATAACTAAAAGAATAAATCTTAAAACCAGATACGGTTCCCTAAGGGACTGCAGCATAGGGCTGGCTCCACACGCAGAGGCTCCAGCACCCTTCACAGGGGTCAGAGTGGTATTTGAAGAGTGGCACAGTTCAGTATTGAGGACACATAAGGCAGAGCTGCATCCTTCTCACCAGGTCCTCGCAGCCGGGCCTGGCATCATTAGCGCATCTACAGTGGCCTGGGACGCACACGGAGGTCAAGGGCTGTGTGGGGGAACAACTCAACTCTTTGTAAATGAACTGATACTCACTACCTATTATTACGTGCCCAGCTTCATGCCAAGAGACAGAAAACAAATGCAGAGATGAGCACTCCTTTCTTGGACCTGCAACATGCATCTGTGTACTTAGCTTCACTTAAGGAAGCCCTGGAGGACTGCCCCCTGAGCCTCGTCATCGGTGCTGTGCACAGGGAGGCCATGGGTAACTTCTGCCACACCAGCAGGCAGAAGGCAGCAGGCAGTGCCAGCTCAGTCTTTCTACCTATGCTCCTGTCTTCTTCCCATTACCACACAGGACTGAGCGGTGTCTCTGGAGGTGAGGGAGTCCTGTAGATGTCCCCAGATCCAAGCTGTCCCCCACGCAGGGGACACGCTTGCTCCAGCTCAGGCTGTGCTTTGAGAGGATGCAATGCACACCACGTGCTGGGGTCTTCCACGCACAAATGCTGCTCAGATGACTGCCGAGTGAGAGCAAGAAGAGAGATCAACACTGTGGTAATGAATGCTACAGAGGCCTAGAAGAAGGAGAAATGGCTATTGGCTGGGGCATGGGGAGGACCAAGCAGGAGCACATTTTGGGTAGCAGTGGGGTGGGGGTGGCAGGCCACCTGGTAACTGGGCCTAAGTGTCTCAGTCTTTCCTAGGCCCCAGCACGGTGCTTGCCACCCAGTGGGCGTGCAGTGGCTGGATGGGTCAGAGCTTGTCCTGAGGCTTTAAAGGCAGAGAGCAGGCTGCCCAGCCCCAGTGCATCAGGACCATGTCTTCGGATGCAGGTGGCTGTGGGGACTCCCAGTCTGGCATGACTTGCAGTGAGGGCTTGGGCTGGCCGCTCACCCACACGTCATAAAGTCTGGCAAGCAGGAAATAAAGCCATCCCTGAGAAGGACTCTGTGGAAGGGAGTACCTCAATCTGGGACTAGGGGTGGTGGCCGTAAGGCTCTCAGCTCTCCGAGGGAAGAGTTTGAGAACAAAGCTTTGGAAGACTGTCATTACGCAGGACCAAAGGAAGCCAGCTGCTGGGCTGGCCTCAGCCACCCCAGATGGAGACAGTCAGGACTGTGTGCTGTGTTAATTTATACCTCTGACCCCGGCCGCTGCACAGGGGCAGCTGTGACTGGTGATTCATACAATATTAAGAGTCTAACAAGAAAGGAGGCGTGTCACTGCTTCAGGAACCGATTTGATTCTAATTAGGAAGGAGCAGAGGGAGGCTCGGAGGACAGACTATGCTCCCATGGTCACTGAGGCAGGGACTGTGCGGGTTTTGGCTCTTCTGGGACTAGGGGCCCTACTCCATGGGGTTCCAAACTCTCTTTTCACAATAAGGAGTACTGCAGGGGGCTAGCCAGCCTGCAGAAACGAACATGGCAAAACTATGGCAACCTTTGCTCTGTGGGGTCTTTGTAGACTCTATTGTGTCTTCACACGCTGGACCATGATGTTCCCCCGGGGAAGAGTGCCATTTCTCCCATCTTCCCACAAAAGGCCTTTCCCTGCTTCTGTGAAGACCCCCATGGAGCCAGAGTGATGGCTCAATTGGCCAATCCTCTGCCTGCAAGAGCCAGCATCTTATATGGGTGCTGGTTCGTGTCCCAGTTATTCCACTTTTCCATCCAGCTCCCTGCTTATGGCTTGGGAAGGCAGTGGAGGATGGCCCAAAGCCTTGGGATTCTGCACCCACATGGGAGATCCCAAGGGGACTCCCAGCTCCTGGCTTCAGATCAGCTCAGCTTCAGCCATTGAGGTCATTTTGGGGAATGAAACAGTGGATGGAAGATCTTTGTCTCTGTCTCTCTCTGTAAATCTGCCTTTCCAATAAAAACAAATAAATCTTAAAAATAAAAATGCCCCCAACATAGGCCAAATCCTCTGGGAGGTGTCTCCCAGCTCCCTGGGAGAGAGGGAGTCACCAGGGCTCTGAATAACTGTGCTGAGCCTGGTGTCCGTGAGCTCAGCACCAAGCAATGACAGGCAGAGATCAAGTTCATGTGCAGTGTAGGGGCAGACAGCTGAAGGAGCATGGGAAGGAGATGTGAACTTGCTTCAGGGGCCTCTGTGTAAGGCTGCTCTTGCTGTCTGTGTTGGCTCACTCACCATCAGGCGCTGGTGGCTGTGCTTCCTGCATGCCAGGGAATGAAAAGCTTGGTCGGAAAAGACAAAACTAAAGTACAGTCTGTGCTAAGTCCTGGGTGGTAAGAGCAGGGTGGGCTGAACAGAGCAAAGCAGGCTGGGGGAAGAAGAGCCCTGCCATTGTGGTAGAGGAGGGGCGGCCCTGGCATGACAGTTAAATTTGTCAGGTGCAGATCTCTTCAATTGCTCAGGGATATTTTCCAGTCTTCCTTGAGAGGGTCCTGTGTGCTGTCTCTAAGAGGCTTCTGCTGCCAGAATGCCGTCCTGAGAGAATGCCAGAATACACAGGAGAACATGCTTCCTGCCAAGTGGAGATCTGTGAGAGGCAGCCTTGCCCCAGAGGGGTTGCCTGCTCCCTTGTGAATAAGAACACAACTCCTTCCTGGCCCCTGGGCCAGCGCCCACCACCTATCCTGGAACTGGCATCTCAGGAGGCAAGTGGCAGAGGCTGTGGGGGGAGTGGCAGCATTTGGTTCAGCCTTGGGAACAGGTGTGTCAGCCAGAACATTGCTGGCACTGCATGTGAGTGCTCATGGGAGCAGTCGAGCATGCACACGCCTCCAACCACATGACTCCTGAGGGCACGGTCAAAATAGTCCTGGCCTTTGGGCAAACCACGATTGGGTCAGTGCTACTTTTAGCATAATTGGAAAGGCTTGGGGCCAAGGACAAGAAGACGAATCCAATGAGATCATGGGAAGCTGCCGAGCCCCAGTAGCAGCTCTCTGACACTGCTCTGGAGTTGTAAAGAAGCATCTAGACAGCAGCTCTCTGCAAGACCATTCTGTCTTTAAAATGAGGTGTAGAACAGACCAGAAAATTCCAGATCAGGGCCAGTCTGAGGCCTTCCAGGACTAGATAGTGCTGTTGGGTCAGAGGGTTCAAGTCTGGTTTCACCTCTTAGCTGCTGTGCAACCTTGGACATCTGTTGGGTCGTGTCTGTCATCTTTTGCATTCTTAGGGTAACAAAAGGGCCAACATAATGGCTCAGTGGCTAAATCCTCGCTTTGCAAGCACTGGGATCCCACATAGGCACTGGTTTGTGTCCTGGCTGCTCCCCTTCCTATCCAGGTCCTTGCTTCTCGCCTGGGAGAGCAGTGAAGGATGGCCCAAAGCCTTGGGATCCGGTACCCATGTGGGGGACTTGAAGAAACTTCTAGCTCCTGGCTTTGAATTGGCTCAGCTCTCCACTGTGGCCACTTGGGGAGTGAACCAGTGGATGGAAGATTTTCTCTCTGTCTCACCTTCTTCTCTCTAAAACTGCATTTCCAGTAAAAAAAGAATACATACATATTTTAAAATAGCAACAAAGTGCCTCCTTCTCAGAGGTGGAGGGTGATTTAATGATTTGATACAGGGTATGAACAAATGCCCCTTGGCTCCCTCTGAGACACAGTTTCAAGTCCCCCAGGCACCACCTGAAGGGACACTGGGCGTCTCCACACAAGGCAGCTGTGGTATCCAGCGGGTGTGTCAGGACATCATAGTTACCAACCCCCCACCGAAGCCCCTCTGAAATATAAGCAAAGCTCCTTCCCACCTCTGTCTGACCTTCAACTTGTGCACAAAGGACTCCAAAGGCATCTCTGAGCAATGAATTCAGCCCCAGTCCTCCACATCAGCAGAGAGCTCAGCCATGTTGGTACCTAGGGCTTTGGCCACTCCTTTAACTCAGAACCCACCCTGCAATTGTCCTTCCAGCTCCGAGTCCATGCAGGTCTCCCCTTGAGGCTGGCCAGGTCTCCAAGCGAGCCACAATCCACAGTGAGCGGTGCCTGTCGCTGGTGAAGGGCCTGCAGCCTGACTCAGAATGGGGGCCTCCCACTCTCCACACCTGCCTGCTGATAGCCAGTGCTGCCCTGCAGCACCGCCCCCCTCAGGGATCACAGAGCATTGGTCATATGTGAGCTGTCATCCAAATGGCTCCTCCTTTTCTCTTCCCTTCAAGTTCCAAATGCTAACCATCCTCAAGGCATAGCCCAAATGGCAGCTCTTCTACCACACCCCACCAACCAACATCTCAAGATTGTACAGAGCCCTAAAGCCCCTGGATCCAGTGCCCTTTCCACCACTGCAGCCCAAGGATGGTACAGGTGTACAGAGTAAGGATGTTGTCAGGCCTGGGCAGGGCTTGCTGGAGTCTGGGGCAATGAGACTGCCCCGGCTAT